CCGACACGTACAGTCCATGCAGGGCAGCTCCCGGGAAGGACAGGATCTGCGTGTGATTAGTATGCAGCCCCCATCCTTCTCTATGGGACTACGAGGCCGTACGCCTCCCTACGCTCACCCGCCCTGCACGTCTATGCGGGTGTGGGTGTCCATACTTGTACACTGACAGGATGGATCCTGTCTGCAACCGAGCCGGGAAACACGCATTCGTACGGACCTGCACTTGAGGTGAGCGCAGGGGGGGCGTACGGCCGCGTAGTCGCATAGAGAAGGACGGGGGCTGCGTGTGATTAGCTCACCCGTACGGACCTGCACTTGAGGTGAGCGCAGGGGGGTGTACAGCCGCGTAGTCCCATAGAGAAGGACGGGGGCTGCGTACTAATTACACGCAGCACCTGTCCTTCCCGGGAGCTGATCGGTACGGCCCTGCACGGAGATGTACGTGCCAGCCGATTCCAGTGTGAATGAGCCCTAAGGGTGCATGTGTTTTAGAGGACAGAAATAATCTCATGACCAGTGAATGTTTGTTGAAAGTTACATTCATGGGCTTTAGAAATATGCCCTCCAGGGTACCGTGCCATTCAGGTCTATGGGGAATTGCTGCACAGGTGCAGGTCATGCTGGAGAAGATTTGAGCGGAGGATGGTAAACAATGAAGACCACAAACCCTTATGGGGAAGAAAATAATCATATAGGTGTGTGTATTTGGGTGGAGGGGGGAGGTTAGAGCAGGGGTGGACAACTCTAGCTCTCCAGTTGTTGTGGTACTACAAGTCCCATGAGGCATTGCAAGGGTGACAGTTAAAGGGATTGCTCCCAGTGACATGTTGGATTTGTAGTCAAAGCACAGTTGGAGGGCCGGAGTTGCCCACCCCTAGGTAAGAGCATTAGGGTTTGTTTTTTTTACTTGTCCTTTAATGGATCAGTCTACCATAACTGATATCTAGAACCAGGCTGGCAAAGTCAAATAATAAAGCTCTTCCCATTCCCACCGAGAGAATACTCCACCTACACCATTCTCTGTAACACAAAATGTATCATTTCCAACAAGGAAAGTCTTGGGGGGAGCTAGAACCTTAGGCATGAAGACCCCCTGAGATCAAAGAAGCTCAGGGGAGGGGGAAGTTTAACCCATTATCTAAACAAACCTGAACAAAAAAAAAACCAACACCTTTAGCAGTGTCAGATAAATCTTTCCAATGTGCCCTTTTTGTGGAACTACAAACCTCATCAATTGTTGCATACCCCACATGACGGTATTGAGCTTGGATGGATTTTAAAATCCATCCAATTGTTTTCACCTTGGATTTGATCAGGCAAATATCAGCCAAAATCGATTCAAATGGTCACGAAAATCGATCAATAATTGCTACATTCGGTGTATTGAAACGATTGTGTCGATGAGCAGACTGGTACATACGTCACCAGCATCTTCCATTGCCGGTGTGATGCTTCCTGAACACAGTGGGGGAGCCAAGCCTCAGTCCCCATTTGCATTTATTGAGCCGGCCACTTTCCCCATTCAGTAAATGATATCCAGCTCTCTGCTCCAATTATACAAATCTTGCAGAGCTCTCCCACCATTGGAGAAGCCACACGCTTCTGTGTATGGGGGAGCATGTGACCTTCTCCCATGATGCAGCTATGGGGCCTGAGCAGCCAATCACCAGGCCTGAACATGATCACCTGTGTAAATGCCAAAATTCAAAATGGAGCTTCCTCAGGGTAGTACTCCCTGCTCCAACCAAGGAACGGAGTCACAGCGTTGTATTGTGAAGTGGAGTATAAATAGGTCAGGGGTGCGATTTCAACAGACTTTCACTTTGCCATGAACGCTCAAAGTCACAAAGGTCTCTTTACCTTAAAGTGAAAGTGGAAGAGCAATTCTTAGCCATAAAGCCGGTGAATGTGATAATAAAGTGAAACAAAATCAGAGAGGCACAGAAGAAGCCTTTCCAGATTATAAAAGGTGCCCATACACTGTACGATTCTCGTCCGAGAATCGTACAGTGTATGGAAGGCGTGCGACCGTTTCTACTGTACGGTCGCACGTCTTCCATCGAACAAGCAGGCTAGAAAACCCGCCGGGAATCGTACGATTCTCGGCAAATGAGTGGCCCGCTTGTTCGACAACTGACGAACTGGCCGGTGTGCGCACACTGCCCGTTTGCCGTCCTCGCAAGCCCGCCCCTCATTGCAGTCATCGCAAGTACGATCTGCCTGTCCAAGATGGGCAGATCGCACGTTTTTTTAAGTACTTTACAACCATCGCAAGACTAAGGTCTTGCGATGGTTGTACAGTGTATGGCCACCTTAAGGGTACTGACATGTACACTATATTGCCAAAAGTATTGGGACGCCTGTCTTTACACGCACATGAACTTTAATGGCATTGCAGTCTTAGTCCGTAGGGTTCAATATTGAGTTGGCCCACCCTTTGCCGATATAACAGCTTCAACTCTTCTGGGTAGGCGTCCACAAGGTTTAGGAGTGTCTATGGGAATGTTTCACCATTCTTTCAGAAGCACATTTGTGAGGTCAGGGACTGATGTTGGACGAGAAGGCCAGGCTCACAATCTCCGCTCTAATTCATCCCAAAAGGTGTTCTATCGGGTGGAAGTCAGGATTCTGTGCAGGCCAGTCAAGTTCCTCCACCCCAAACTCGCTCATCCATGTCTTTATGGACCTTGCTTTGTGCGCTGGTGCGCAGCCATGTTGAAACAGGAAGGGGCCACAACCAAACTGTTCCCACAAAGTTGGGAGCATGAAATTGTCGAAAATGTCTTGGTATGCCGATGCCTTAGGAGTTCCCTTCACTGGAAGTAAGGGGCCAAGCCCAACCCCTGAAAAACAACCCCACACCATAATCCCCCCTATACCACCCTTCCCACTTGGCACAATGCAGTCAGGCAATTACCGTTCTCCTGGCAACCGGCAAACCCAGACACGTCCATCGGATTGCCAGACCGAGAAGCGTGATTCGTCACTGCAGAGAACACGTCTCCACTTCTCTAGAGTCCAGTGGCGGCGTGCTTTACACCACTGCATCCGACGCTTTGCATTGCACTTGGTGATGTAAGGCTTGGATGCAGCTGCTCGGCCATGGAAAGCCATTTCATGAAGCTCTCTATGGACTGTTGTTGTGCCAATCTAAAGGTCACACGAAGTTTGGAGGTCTGTAGCTATTATCTCTGCGGACAGTTGGTGACTTCTGCGCACTGTGCGCTTCAGCATGCGCTGACCCCGCACTGTCATTTTACGTGGCCTACCACTTCGTGGCTGAGTTGATGTTGCTCCCAGTTGCTTCCACTTTGTTATAATACCACTAACAGTTGGCCGTGGAATATTTAGCAAGAAAATTTCATAGAACACCTGAATCCAATGATTTGGAGGGGTGTCCCAATACTTTTGGCAATATACAGGTGAAACTTGAATAATTAGAATATCGTGCAAAAGTAATTGCAGTAAGTGCTGCAAAAGGGGCCCAAACCAAGTACTGAGTACATATGCATGCTTGTACTTTTCAGAGGTCCGATATTGTTCTATGTACAATCCTTGTTTTATTGATTGCATGTAATAATCTACTTTTTTGAGGTTGTGGATTTGGGGTTCTTGGGGTTTTCATGAGCTGTAAGCCATAATCATCACAATTATGACAAATCACGGCTTGACTTATCTTGCTTTGCATGTAATGAGTCTATCTCATATATTAGTTTCACCTTTTAAGTTGCATTAGTGAAATAAATGAACTTTGCACGATATTCTAATTATTCGAGTTTCACCTGTAGTGTATCTTATGGTGTCCAATCTTCGGAAGGACATCTGCTTTAAAATGTTGAGCTCAGCTGGAGGGAAGGTCCTGTATTTGTAAATGTTCGGATAAGGTTTGCTAAAACACAAGTAATATATACAGGAGACTAGTAAAACATAATGAAAATACAAACCTAAAATTAAAAATCTGGATGCCCCTGATGATCCCCAGAGGGTTATACATAGGGCTCTAGGTTTGGCAATCTCATTGATCCCTACTGAACTTTTTCCATTAGCAGGTCGATTGTTTATTACCAGCATACAGTCCAGTGCTCACCACCTGTAACCTACAAATCATTCATCCCCATACTCTGCAGGAACCCACAACCAGCTTCTCATATTTATTACACACTTCTTTCTTCTACTGCCAGTCACTGAACCCCCTAAAAACTGATGGCCCAAAATCTACAGCTTACAAAATCAGATTTTAACCAGCAATGTTACCAAACTGGTTCCAAAAGCCGATCTGACTGATGCGTAAAGATCAGATTGCTATACTCAAGCTGTAAGAGTCGGTTCAGCCATGGACAGTGTATGGGGAAATCTACTGACAACATCCACACATGTGCTGAAACAGCATTACCAACCGCCAACGACTGACGCCATGATGGAAAGATAATGTTCTATCAAAAGTGCTGATTTTGCTTTTCCACGATCACAAGTATATACCAAGCACAAGGGTCCTAGTCATGGTTATTGGATATATTTTGAATAGTTATACCCCGATTTCCCCTCAACCCCCAGCCCATATATTGTGCGATGCCAACTAGCTCCACACATGATGGTTACATAGTAATATATAAAGTAATCAACATGTTTCCAAATCTGTACACATTACACAGATAACAGACATTGGTTACGTTTTACGGTTCATGTACTCGGCCACAGAGGGCCGCGCAAGTGTGTGTTTCAGAGCCTTATTCTAATATGTCTGTAGAAACTTTTTTTTTTAAGGGGGGGGGTTCTGTAAAAGAAAATAAAAAATAACTGGTTGGTTTTGTCAGTCGCCCTTCCTGACCCCCCCACCCCCCTTCCACTCTCTTCTACAGAGGCAGCACTGACCCCCTCTCCTCTATGGAGGCAGCACTGACCCCCCTTCCACTCTCCTCTATGGAGGCAGCACGGACACCGCACAGCTCGGAGGCAGCACCTCCACTGTCTCTGGGGTCGCTCCCAGCCAGCACACTCACCCAGAAGATGAAGTTGAAGGCGAACAACAGATATTTGATGCACTTGGTTCCTCCTTTGACAGGCATGGTGCTGGAGCTCCGGCGGCAGACTAGCAGACTAAACTGAAAAACTTCTTAGGCAGACAGCACACAACTCCTTGCAGGGTGTGCCGGACTCTCCAGTGCCCAGCCTTCGCAGCCTATGAAACGTGCGACGCAGCGCCCACTAGCGGCACACTCTGGGCTACAGCCAAGCACCACACCTACTAGCCACCCCTAACCCGTATACAGGGCTGTTTATAAACAGGAAAACCTGGGAAAATCCGAACACAGGAGCACTTGTCGGCTGTCCGGACCAATCAGCTTTCAGCTTGTTTTCCTTTCTTTTCTGGGAAATCTGATTGGACACTTTAGGGAACTTCACTTTTGCTCCCCTTTCCAGTTATTTATAAATAGTAAAATCTGATAATGTTCCTTGAACTCCTTTGTCATCGGGAGAGCAGCCCAGCCAACATCCTCCCTCTATGTGTCCTCTTTTCTTTCTTTCTTTCTTTCCCTCCTCCCTCTCTCTTTTTTTCTTCCATATACATGATTTCCTCCAAGTCCATTGAACTCCCTAAAAACCCCAGAAGGTTTGCATCCTTTTCTGTTTTTTCAGACCTAACCGAGATGGATCCGAGGTAATTGGATGTAAACGAACGTCCACTTACATCCAGCTGCCCATAGACCTAACATGGGTCCGCTTAGTTCAGTTTTTTCTGGAGGGAAAGAATGAACAAACACATGTGTCCCAAATGTGACATCCATTCTGTTCTGCTCCAATTCAGCAGGCAGTTTGTTTACGGATCCCCTGCTGATCGGAATGGACGCCATCAATGTGTAGTGGTGAATGTGCATTTGACACTTTCCTTTGCTCTTCGCTCTGAGAAGTTAGAGGGAATGGCCAGGGAACATAAAGATTTCCCATCAAGATGGAAAAACTGTGTGTGCAATAACAACCACTTTAAGCATTAAAAACACTAGTTATTACATCCCAGGCATCCCCTCAATACCGCAGTTTGATCTATGGATAGGCTCGATGTTCGAGTCGAGCTTGAGTTTGACCCGAACATTGGCAGTTCGTGTGTTCGGTGAGCACACGAACTGTCAGGGCGTTCGGCGGGCTGTTCAACTGCTGAACGCCCCATATGGCACTGCTAAGTGTACAAGTACCCCTTACTCATTCACAAGGGGGGGGCGCATCAGGTTGCCCCTTTATTAAAGGGGTACCCTGATGTGAATAAGCCCCCTGCCCGCAAACCCACAACCAATGCCCTAGGGCTTCTGGGGAAGAGGCCCTTGCCCCATCGGCACGGGTACAAGTGCCTGTGCTCGGATCACGGGTCTGGTATGGAATTTTAGGGGGTACCCCATGTCTTTTTTTGTCCATTTTTGGGGGTGGGGTTCCGCCTTTAAATTCCTAGTCGACCTTGTTTGACTTTGAGGGGGAACCCCAAGCACTTATTTTTTCTGTTTTTTTAACATGGGGTCCCTCCTAAAATTCCCACCAGACTTTAAGGGTCTGGTATGACTTTTGGAGGGAACCCCACACTTTTTTTTTCTAAATGGGGTCCTTCCTAACATTCCTACCAGACCTTGAGGGTCTGGTATTATTTGGGAGGGGGAACCACACGCTTTTTGTTTTTCCTTTTTAAATGTCATTTTTTTTCTTTATAAATGTCATTTTTGCTGCAGGTTCTATACATTGTACAGATTTGCCCCTTTACAGGCAGTTTAAGGGGGTCCACCAAGCACCATATTTAAAGGAATTTTTAATTTTTATTGTTTCACTTTAAGTGATGTTAAAATCACTGCTCCTTTAAAAACGGTATATATATATATTTATAGATATAAAAAAAATCATTGATTCATGTCCCTCAGGGCAGTACCCGAATCCCCATACACTTTTTATGGCCAATAAATTGCATATAAGGCTTCAAAATGACCCAATTTTGAAGCCTTTGAAGCAACTGATTTTCAAAGTTCTACCCCCATAGACTTGCATTGAGTTCGAGTTCGAATTCAAACTTTTTCCATGTTCTAAAGTTCGAATACAAACTGAGCGAATGCGGGTGTTCGGCCCATCACTAGTTTGATCTTCTCCCAGGGATCACATTGGGCAATCAGATCAAGGTGGCATTGGGCCATTCAAGATCATTTTCATCTAAAATGGATGGAGTTCTATTGTTGTATCACAGCTAACAAAGCAGTCGAGTCGGGTTCACAATCTTGCCCAATCACTATTATTTTTTCAGATAAGCTGGTGCCAGGACAACCTGCGTGTCTCCCATAGCCTCCTCTTCTGTCCTACACAGGTACTGTATATTTATGAGACAATAGTCTTCCTCTTTGTAGGAGCATCTGGGCAAAAATACTTTGTGAGATGATATGCTGTTCATTGATAACTTTGGCTGGTTTTACTTAAAGGAGAACTATGGGGTTAAGGCTTTTCCCCATAGTTCTCCTTAGGATAAGGGGAGGACACAAACTAGCGTCCACCCGTCACCCTCAGCTCAGTATAGTGAGACGCCACAGTATACCGCGAGCTACTGCTCGTGGTATACTCAGATGCCACAGCATGAAGCGGATCCTGACAATTATGTCTGGATCCGCCCAGCTGCGTGAGTGACAGCTGGCTCTGTCTATCTAGAGGCAGAGCCAGCTGTACCCGCCCCCTCCCCCGTCCGATCTGCCAGTCAGCGCTGGCAAATCGGAGCGGGGAGGGGGGAATCCAGCCCCTTCCCTGTCACGGCAGAGAGCCGTGACAGGATCGAGAGGTGAGCGAACTCCGGTATGTGTTCGCTCACCTCCCGATCTACTGAGCCAACCTGTGGCAGTCTCATTGTCACAGGTCGGCTAGAACTATGAGGTGAGTGAAAAGCACTCACCTCATAGTTCTCCTTTATAGTCTTTCTATAGCCAAAACATATATTACATTTCTTTTTGGATAGAGTAGAGATAGAGTTTTGGATAGAGTAATGAAGGATTAACACCCCTGTGGCGTTTTGAATGCTTCTTGTATTACCACTGGGGAGATTTACCCTCTCTATTGGTCCTAGTGACTATCGTCTCCATTACAGAAAGTGATTGGAAATCCAAACTTTTGCAACTGTTACCAGAGCAGGAATAGATGTACATTTTCTTATGGAGACACTTGTTCCTGTGATAACTGTCTATAAAGGGATTTCCCTCACTTTGGAGGGATTTCCTTTCAATGTGTGATGCATCTCCAGAATAGGAAGTGAAGTAAAATCTCCCCGACGGGACACAAAAACCAAAAACAGAGATACAAGAATTTTAACTTCTAGCTAAAAAAAAGTTTTGTCACCCGTAATTAGTTTTTCCATCTAGTAATGTAGCTTGGATGGACTGCCTCGTCCTGTTGTGTCCTTTTGGACACAAGCAGAAAGAAAAAAGAATTAATAGAAATACTTGACTCCTGTCACTCTCAGTTATTTTTTTCTGTGCCCCGTTGTGGAGGGTTCCCTTCACTCTTTGTCCCGAAAACACAAAAGGAAGTGAGAGGAAATCTCTACAAGGTGAAGGGAATTTCCCTTAGTTGTCACTGGAAGAGGCGTCCTCATTGGAAGATTTACCATCATGTCTTGTTCTGATGACAACCGTAAAATTTTTGTTTCCACCTCACTTTTTCTCTGGATGACTATAAGGAAGGTCTAGTTTCTTCTAGTACTAGATGATACAAGACCTGTGTGGCATGTGCATGGGAGTGTGCGTGCACGCTCTGCGCTGCTGTTGGCAATAAATGGCCTAGGTAAACTGGAACACTGCAGAGACAGATTGCTGAGTGGATGGACTTTAGCTAGCTCCTGGTCACCTGCAATCTGACCTGCTGTTCTGCCGTGGCTTGAATTCCAAACTCAAATCCTGTCTCCTGAATCAGTACCTTCACTTCCTGACTGTTATCAGCCACAGCTTGAATTCCCAACTCTGATCCTGGCTTGAATTGCCAACTCTGATGCTATCTCCTGAATCAGTACTTTGACTTTCCGACTGTTACCAACCACAGCTCGAATCACCAACTCCGATCCCATCTCCTGAATCGGTACCTTCACTTCCCTACTGATACCAAATACAGATTGAATTCCAAACTCTGATCCTGTCTCCTGAATCAGTACTTTGACTTTCCGACTGCTACCAACCACAGCTTGAATCCCCAACTCCGATCCCATCTCCTGAATCGGTACCTTCACTTCCCTATACTGATGCCAAATACAGCTTGAATTCCCAACTCTAATCCTGTCTCCTGAATCAGTACCTTCACTTCCCGACTGTTACCGACCACAGCTTGAATTCCCTACTCTGATCCCATCTTCTGAATCGGTAACTTCACTTCCTGACTGTTACCTGCTGTGTCTTGATATCCCCACTCCGATCCTGTCTCCAGAATTGGTACTGCTACTTTCTGTTACTGATTTAGGCTTGTATCTGTCTATGTTTCTGCTGCCTCCTCTGGTACCTTTCTGCATCTGGTTCGTGTCCAGGGGTCTACAGTTGCCTGGTCCACGCACCTTCTAACCTTGCCAGATCTGGTACTGCCTGTGACACTGACATTAATGCCACTCTGTGTGCCTTGCATTCCCTGTTGCCACTTCCAGGGGTGTTGGACAGAAGGTGCAAGAGAGGCTCCCTCATCAGCCTGTCTCCTCCAGGTATGTGACAGTGACATTGGTCACCAGGACAAATAGAGGGGAAATCTTCCCAGCAGGACACCGATGGCAATACAAATATGATAGGAGTTCTAACCTTTTCTCATGTTATCCAAAACTAAAACTTGTAATAGCCCTTCTATGTGTGAAACGCGTAAGTGCCAAATCCTGTGAGATTTAAGTAACAAAGAAAAAGGTTTTCCACAGTATAGTTGTGTAGTGTATCCTTAATTTTCTTGCTAAGTATCTGCAAGTAAGATGAACCTAACCAGCTTCCAGCAATAGTGGATAGGTGTGGGAGCTAAGATCTGCCTGAAGCGTTTGTTTACTATTTATCTAAAGCCTTGGTTCTCAACTGGTGGGTCGTGACCCAACAGTGGGTCGCGACCCCGTGTTCAGTGGGTCCCCGTGTGCCTTCCACTTTTCTAGGTGAGAGGCTCCTCAGCCTCCCCCTAGCGCAGCACTGCCAGTTCTTGCGCCAAGCAGCCATTCAAAATATGC